AATGTAATTGTTATAAATAGCTTTTTTATAAAACAATTTAATTTTTTTTATTATTTAAAAGGTAATTTATAATAATCTATAATAAAATTTTACCTTTCAATATATTTTCAATAAATAAAATGAAACTTTATATGTATATTTTTATTTCTATTGCATAAAATGTCACAAAATTTATATTTTTAATTTATATACCGACATAACGAGATACTAATATACACGATGTCAATCTTTTGCAAACGCGTCAGAAATGATGTCCTTATTTCTAATGATTATGAAATATTGCGCAACTCTCGGACCTACTCCCGGTTGCACAAATTGCGCTTTCGCACCAGCCACGCCTATCGTGTAACGACGACGTTACAAAAGAGGTCAACGCGAATTGAGGAAACGGAAATGCATGTACGTGTCGATAATCGCGGTTCAAGCGTCCGAACGTTTTAACAAAAGTACGATTGTTTCCGCACTTTTCTTTATTTATCTCGCAATGATGCCGAACTAACATAAAAATTCGAATTTTTGACATGCATGTGCGGGCGCATGATCCTTACGTATGAAGGGCGCTTACGTGGCCAACAAACATCGATAACCTACTGACCCTGTGTCTTGCGTTCGCTAGCCGCTCGAATCCATCGCTATTCAACCCTATTCGTATAAGCTTCTCGTTGTCTCTCGGTTATTTTGCACCGCAAATAGAAATGTGTAGGTGCATGGGTATAGATGCGGAGATAACGGTGGGGAACGAGTCGAGGTCATGAGAATCTGAACGCATTCCGTTGCGTACATACGTATGTGCAAACCTACCCCTTTGCAAAGATATATACATATATATATATATATGTGTGTGTTATGCGATGGTGCCCGTTATGAGAACCAACCGCAGAGCAACGGAGAAATTCTATTATCGGAAGCTTACGCAAGCGTTGGCTTTTATTCTCGCGTTCCGCGGTCGACCGATTGTCAAACAGCAGTTTCCATTGTACGATTTTAATTTATCTTATTTTTTACATGTCAAAAGGTTTAAAATAAAAGTTCTCTATTTGAAAAATTATAAATGTTTACAAAAAACAAAATTACATGTCAAGAAATTATAATTAATTCATTAAAATAATAAAACATAATATTGTATCGAGACATTATTTTTTTATCTATAACGAGACTATATTTAAGAAGTTTTATTTTGAGAAACTATTTGGGGCGGGATTCTCAAACATTATTTTTTACGTGTGACAAAGTTTTAAGAAATTCTACTCTGAGAAATTATATATAGCTCTCGAAATACGTCTTGCATAAAGATCGGGGCTTTTATGACGCGTCGTGAGCAAAGATATGCGCTTTAAGGGTTAATAGGTCGCGCCGAGATTAGCGGGCCGAACCCCTTGCTCGACATGCGAGAGTAAATAAGAGAATCGAGCATCCCTGCACCTGTGGTTGCACAAGTCGAGCAGCAGCCTGCACCAACAGGTGCATGCGCAAACGCACAGCATCTTCCATGACTTTGGCTTTTCTTTTGCTTCCCTCGTTTTTTTGCTCTTGTCGCGGTTAAAAAGTATGATCGCGAATCGGGAAGATGATTAATTGCACGTAATAATATCTAATTCAACTGTCCGCGTATAAGTCAGAGCTATTGCCCTGATACAGAAGACATATTGCTCGCCACGATAAATTTTACAACGACCGATTGTTCTTATCATCTTCCGTCGCGCAAGGAAACTATGCCATAAAATTCAATAAAACTTCGCGTCGCTCGCATGCGCGCCAACCCGTTATATATAATCCACGTAGGATTATTTTTTTAATCTCCCCCTTCCCCTCCGAGCCCCTTTGCAATGGCAAAAAAGAAAACGAAATATATACGTGACGCAAAGCGCAGAATAAAAGAGCTATGAATAAATAACAGCTGTAAATCGGCGCATTCGATCCATTGATATGAGAGTAATTTTAAGTTTTACGCTGCATAAAATTATACTTTACAAATCGAATACATGTTAGATTTGTTGACTACTTTTTTCATTATACCAAAGATTGTCTTGATATAATTATCTTATTTTGATTACGAAAAATGTAAGAAAATACATTATTCGAAAAAAGATCTTCATACTAAAGGAAAGTGTATACTGGAAAAAATTTTAGAAAATTCTGAAACGATATAACGATTCTTTCGCTGAAGAAAATTGCAAAAATTAGATGCAATAGCGAGCAATGAATCTAAAGAGTTTTTAACATCTTTTAATTAATAATAATTTTTCGCCATCATCCTTGATATCGAAAAATAAAATTACCGCAAGGATATGACTTCAGAAAATCGGCATTTTTCATACAAGTATATTCAAATAATTAACGCAGATTTGTGATTCGATTTTTTGGAAAATTATTTCTTTTAAATCAGATATTTATCTATACAAGGGCAGCGGAGTAACAATCATCGCGAAGCGTTTAGCTGTCAGCTGTTAGCTGTTACCAATCGACAATCATGCAGCGCGTCGCGTTCCTTCCCAGCACCCCCGACGTTGCATATCAACCCCTTCGCTCGTTTCGCTTCCGAAGCATAGCTCCCCCTTCTCCTATTCCACGTTGCGGGAACTACTACCGGCTATATCCCAGCGCCATCCACCCTCTCTCTTCGTGACATCCCTCCCTGCCGCTTTCTCCGCTAGCCCTCCTCCTCTCGTTCCTGCAATCCCCCTTCGACCACCACAAGGACCGTGGTATTGATTCCCCTCGCGGTAGCAGCTCTTCTTCCCTGTTCTCCAGCGGCAGTCCGGAGCGAAGCGCGTTCGCGACTGCGGACTTGGTGACATTCGCTCGTAAGAGAAGGGGAGAAAGAAAAAAAGAAAACGAAAGAATAAAGAGAGAAAAACAATAAAGAGACCCTTGCCCGAGGAGTATCTCATTTGCGCGGATTCAACCGCCGATACCGCTGTTTTCCGCCGAAGGCGGTGATAAAATTCCGTGGCGATGACGAGAATCCTCGGCGATCCCGCGTCACGGCGCAACCCCGAGTGCAACGGGGCCCATCGATCGACGGACGCTTATTAGACGCGGTACACGAGCGAGAATCTCGACCTCGTGGAGAACCGACGGACGGACGGCGGCAGCGCGACGCGGCAGGACGCAGCTTCTTCTCCCTATCTCGCAGCATCCAACACGACTCGCATCACCGAGTCGGGCGCTTTCGAAGGGAGAGAGAGGGAGAGAGAGAAAACGGCGCCTTTGATGCGCCGATGCGCGGGCGCCGGAAGTCGTCGAGCCGCGCGAGACACATCCCCGGACGACACGTCGGCAGCGGCGCCAACGGCTGTCACCCACTCGCCGGAGAACGCGATGAAAACGCGCGTTTCCGCGTAAACGCGCCCGATCTCCTCGCGTGTTCGAACGTTCACTGCACACCTCGATCACGAAGAGAATATTCGCCGGAGATTGCACCGAGCGTAGACGTAGGAATCTCGTGCAACCTGTCGCGCGCGAGACTATAAATGTTTTCACGCGTCTAGGAATAATATCCTGGAGTAATTCTTATGTTGAAACGTGAATCGGAAGTGCGGAGGTGCATCCGCCGTTCATCGAGACTCCAATAAATCCGGCGAACAGAAATTACACTAGAAGAATTTGTCTGGGGAGAACGCAATCGGGAGTTTCTCCGATTTCTTGAAATTGCGCAATAATTGCGTAATTTTTCGAGATAGTGAAGGAAAAATTCCTGCAGGATGTCATTGAAATTGACAACAAATCCTCATGTCACGATGCGGATTGGAAGTTAGTACGCTCGGTTACAACGCATCGATCTCTACTTGAGGGTTTCGCGTATACGAGATTTGGTCGCACGTGCGTGCGAGATCGAAGCGAGATGCGTCGCGGCGTGTTGGCGCATCTCGACGATGACAACATCGTCACTGGTACCTGGATCCTCTTCTTTTCTCGCGTTTACGATCAACTCAAGGCTGATTTCCGCCGCGGGATGATTTCCGGAGAATCGAAAACAGGTCAATCGCAATTGGCAAATGATTGATTCCAGCTTACTGATATATTAAAGAAAAGACGAGGACACTTTATTGAAATATTACGCGAAGAATTAATATATTTGACGAAGGGGGAGACAAAGAAATCAAATAAGCTCGGGAGGAAAGAAGATGAAGATTAGTTAAAGAGGTTGAAGTAATATATTCTGAATAGATGCTGGAGATTAGATAAGGTGCGAGGTAAAAGAGGGTAACGGTTTATAGCGCATTTTTCCGCGAGAAAAGAGAAAATCGATGCTTTGAGAGGATATCTATAGCGATGTGTGGGAAAGAAGGGAAATCAGCTGGGGAGGAGCAAGAATCAACATTTAGAGAAGATATCTATATGTATACTTAAGCAGAGCAAGAGAGTATTTTTCTATGGCAAATTCGTTTCTATTACGCGTATAGCGAGAGAAAGAAAGAGAGAGAGAGAAAGAGAAAATATCATATATATTATCAATTTTCTCTCTGCAAAAAAGGCAGGAGTTGAAGTAGCATCTATGACGTCTACGATCGTCCAACATCGTCGACGACGATCTTGCGAGCTGTGTGCTTCTTAGATGAATAATAATTCTTGGAAAATTCTCTTAGGATTTTAATAGAGAATTCTTCTTCTGCGTATAAGTACCTGCAGATTCTTGCGGCGATTCTTCGCCGCTCTCATGCTTTTTCGTGCGTCATCGCCCGTAACTTTGGAGATTCTTGAAATAATTAGATTGTAGTCTCGTAAAGTTAACGTTAAGGAATTTGACGCATCCTTTTTAATAGTGCAAAAAACATTTGCCTTAAGTAGAGGACTTTATTGATAAACTCGAGGAAATTTTTTTCGGGTTTAGAATAGACTATTGTCATAAACTTGATGAATTTGAATAAATGTGATGTAACAGCTGTTCTGCCGTCGTTCAACTTTCGCTCTTCTTGGTAATCGATGGTCGCGTCGTGAGCCGTTCAATGTTTACGGATCGTTAATATTTCATCTAATATACTTGCCATTGACGTTTATCAAACGATAAATGGAAAATTGAACAGCTGATGTATAACCGCGACGAAAACTTTGAGATTATCGAGGATTTGGACTTCGAGGATTTCGCGGTATAATAAGACCGTAAGAAGTACAAAACAATTGCGAAGCGATATCATCGAGCTTATACATCGCGACAATCGATCGTAAAAAAAGAATATCTCACCAAGCCACGTGGGTGATTCTTGTACCGTCCGCGAGACAATAATAATGCCATCGGAGAAGGAACGAGATGTCGTAGTCGGCGTTGCAATGACACTTTTGCCCCATCATCGGGAAGCCGAGGATCCCGTCCGACAGTTCTCCCTCCCTTAGGAATCGTCCAGTCGCGGACGGTTTCAACGTCTCTTCCTCAACTTAAGTCACCGCCGGCGGAAGAACGACGAATAATGGTAGAGCCGAAATGGTCGATCAAGTGTGCGAATAGTACCCTGGACCTGCTGGATCCGAGCGACGATAGTTACACGGACCTGAAGACGCAGCATCGGCGACGCTGCTGGAAGTACTTTTGCTGGTGTCGCAGGCATACTATAAGCGTAATATGCATTAACGAGACGCGCAAATTGTACTGGTTCAACTGCCGGAACGTCCAGGAAAAAGTTACGTACGGCTCGGGCGAGGGTTATTACCACAGGCTACTGCGTCTGGTAAACGGCGCGTTAAACACCTGGGCGCAACGTTACATTGACGGCCTAAGCGTGGCGCGTCGTGAAATTATGTTGAAGATCAACGGTAGCGCGGACAACAACATGAGGCTGCTCAAGGAGGGCTGCTACTGCCACTACCATCCGCACATGACGGCGGACGCGTGCAACGCCGATTTTCTCAGAAGAGTCGTAAGTTTCTGGGCCGGCGAGAGCCTCAGGGGAATACGCGAGAGGCTCCGCGGCATGACCAATATTACGAAAAAGGTAGAGGACACGAATGGCGAATCTTCTCTATTCTCTTGTGGAGGAATGTTTCTCTTGATATATTCAGATTGATATATTGTGTATTGTTCCCGAATATATATATATATACATTTCCCTGCCTATATCTGTATGAGACGATCGCACGTCGAGGATACCACCCTCGTGCGAGATACCAATCACTTGGCATGCGCTTCGGGCAGGAGCGAGGGTAGAGGGAGAGAAAGGAATTAAATCTGCGCCGAGTTCCGTTTCCGTTGGACTTTCGTTCGTCGACCCCCTAAACTACTCGCACTCATTGTCGCACTCAGAATTGCATCTCATTTTCATCGGTATCATTAAACGTCATATCGTATATAGAATGAAAAATCATTTGTCACATTAAAAATATGTATTTGCAAGTAAAAAATTTATAATCGCGCTTTCAACGCGATGGAAAATAAGAGCGAAAATAACGAGGGGATAGACAACGAAAACAGTGGAATTGCCAAATAAAGCATTTTCGCATTTCGTCCTTTTGTTGTGAAATAGAGACTTTAGTTGCAATATAATATTTTGGCATGTATGATCGCGTTGAAATAATCTCTTGAAAGCGACATAATCTTCTTATGCAATTAAAAGGGCTTCTAAGCTGGCCTCGCTAAAGTTGCATTAAAACTAGTTGCCACTTTTAAATAGCATGTGCCGAGTAAAGCCTTAACTTAAGATTTCTTTGCATCTCCACTGCTGATTATTAGTAATGCAAATGTCTCCCTTTGATGTAATATTTTTTTGTGTAATTAATTTGCAATAATACTAATTAATTATATCATATTAGTGTACTTGTATTTATCAAAAATTAATTAAGTGTTTAACATAGTTATATAAATTAAAATTATATTAAACATTGATCTCAACAAATCGCATTGTAAATTATTACATTGTAAACTCTGCACTAATTATAATTCTTAATGCAATATTTTTAATACAACATATTACAATTCCTAACATACAGTATATAAAAAAAATAATTAGTTAATTGTCGAAAAAAAAAAAAATATATATATATATTGTAAATAGCAATAAAACGCAACCCATATTTACAATTCCTAAATATGCACTCTTAGATAGATGAGATATCCTCAGTTAATTATGTACATATAAAGCATCTTGTCATTGTCAGTAATAGACTAGACTCTTTGCATATAATCATCATTTTTTATCAGCATTATTTTATTTTACGATATGATCGCACAATACATTTTTTCTATGCACATTTTCTCTCTTTTTTGATATATACATATATATACATATACATTTTTTTTTTTTACATATATGTGTGACTCCACGTGCAAGTACCATTTGCAAGTATAAAAAAATTCGTAAAGAGTAAAAGAGTATTCGATTATTAACTGTCAAATTTAACGTGGGATCGCCCGTATCTGTCTTGATTCTCGCAGTGACAAATGCGTTTGTCGCGGCTAAAAATAACGCCTGATATATTTTTCAGATGTCAGACGACGATAGGATGTCACTCACCACCGCCGTCAGCGATGATGACGACGGCGAGAGTGTCATAAATTCGCCCTATCGTGGGAAGCAGACTGGCACAGCTGCAGCTTCGTTCAATTGCACCGGTGCAGTTCGGAAAGCAGGGTACGTCGTTTGTACTTTGTTCTATAAAGATAATGAGCCTTGAGGGCCTGTATGTACAATATATAAATATCTCTCGGATAATGTTAAGATAAATACGAAGGCTATGGACAAAGAATTATTTTTTAAATCATATTTTTCTTATATTTTAAGAGATATTATAGTTTGTAAATTTACTTACTTTATAAATTAACTAAAGAAGAATTTTATAGTTTATATTTAAATATTAGTCATCAATTATACATATATTTTAAAAATAAAAAAGTTTGCGAAATTCTTAAGATAAATTAAATATGACATAGAATAAATCATATAAAATCACAAGAATAATATAATGATATCTATATCATATAATGATTTTTGATATATCGAAAATTATTCGTGTATTTTATATAGCAACAGTAAACCTAAATATAAAAGGAAAAATGAGATAATGGCGATGCATCAAAAATTTTAGATTTCTCAGTGTGAAGAAATGGCTGCTGCGCAAAAAACATCAGATCGAGCTAGCTAGGAAGAGAGGCTGGAAGGGTTACTGGGTTTGTCTGAAGGGCACCACACTCCTCTTCTACCCCTGCGATTCCCAAGAGAGCAGAGCCATGGAAGCGGCACCTAAACATCTAATCATTGTTGACGGTGCGATTATGCAGCCGATTCCCGAACATCCGAAGAGGGATTATATATTTTGCCTTAGCACCGCTTTCGGGGATGCCTATCTATTCCAGGTAAAGAAAATTTGGCAAATTTTAATTTTGACGATCGGAATTAATGTAAAAAAAAGAAATATATATATTTAATTTATTAATATATTTGCGAGTAAACTTCTTAATAAGCATCCTTGCAAATGACACGCCAATTAAACTCGAAGCAAGTTATAAGTGATCGACGAATGAGGGGAACAATTCGAGATAAAGTTAAATTCGAATAATTTCGGTTCAGTTTGATCTCCACACTTTGGCAGCTCGAGAGAGTGCATGAACCGCGCGAATCGCTAACTAGATGTATTTAATTAATTCCGTTTCACAAACTCCCGTTTCTCGATCACGCAACGGCAAACTTTTAATAGCCTGCGGTTCCTACTTAAAAGCTTGTCACGACTTTTAAAAAATGTGAGCGACATTATGTACATTGCTTCGCGGCGATATCGATTTGCTTTCAAAGTTTCCCGATGCTTAAATATCGGAGATCTTTATCTTCACTTACAGAAAAAAAAAACGTTCTCTTTGTGTTTTTTAGGCGCCATGTCAAGTGGAGCTGGAAAATTGGGTGAATAGCATTCATTCGGCGTGTGCCGCCGCATTCGCGCGTCATCGCGGCAAGACCGGCACGCTGCATCTTCTTCAGGAGGAGATCTTTCGTCTGGAAAAGGCGATCGAGTCGGTATGTTAAGAAAATGTCATTGAATCGATCAATATAATATTTCATTAAGCTTGATTTATTCTAAATATTGAAGAGAGAGATTTATATATATATTCTAAGCATTGTTTAGTGAAAAGTAGTTAAAAAGAACAAAGTTTACATTAGTCTTAGCATTTGTTAATTTTTGCTTCAAAGATGTAGGAAAAAGCTTTTACACTAATTACACTAATTTATTAGATTTTTATTTCATAAAAATTATTACAAATATATTTTTGATAGAGTTTGAACATATTTAATTACTATATATTTTCACATTTTGACGGAATGTTTTTTTCATAAAAAAGAAGAAAGATATATTAATTGATATCGACTTGTATACTGGCTGTTTACAGGACCACAAGATGAAACACATGGCGGATCTCCAGCAATCAGTGGTTTCCGACGTCGACACTAAGCAGCAAATCAACAATCAAATAGTACAATGGGAAGAGAATCTGGAACGGCTCCATTGCGAGCAATTCCGTTTGCGGTGCTACATGGCTAGTTTGCAGAGTGGCGAACTGCCTAATCCGAAAGTAAGTATCAAATACAACATAGAATATTAATACTTTATACAAACTAAACTGTACAATCAAAAGACATTGCATAATTGTGCGGATATAATTACTTCTGCAGAAAAATCATCTCTCTAATATTTTATCGATATTTTTTACCAATAAATATTTTTCATTGATAATATATTTGTTTATCTTTTTGTGATCATATAAATTTATAAACCCACACGTAATACATACGCGCAAGTATTGTTTTATTTTGAGAATGATTTCGAGAAACCGTGTGGCGTCGATTCTATTTTTCCAATCGTCACCGAATGTGACAAGGAGTCGAGGTATTATATCGATTCCAATCGTGTAATCAAACAAAACGCCATGATTTGACTGTAGCTTTCATAGGAAAAGCCCGTTCTCTCGGTTTCTCGCGGATAAACAACATTACGCGCTGCAATCTCGCTACATTGTCCACTTCATTGCTTTAATTGTCTGAAAAGCGGGGTCGTCTCCCCCATTTGCAGCCAGGATTCGTTAGCTATCCATCTGCATCGCGAGTATCTAATTTGTGCCGTTTGTGCTGTGATGTTATCGATCGTTGTGCGAGAGACAAGAGTCGTTCGTACGATGGTCTGAATATACGATAAATTAACATTCTCACTGCAATCAAACTATTTAAACAACAGCAATCTACAGTACAAACACTATATACTATTTATTACCAATATTTTATAATTTATCTTCTTGATTTTTTATGATTTGAACAAAAAACTATATTTTTTCTTTTTTTTTAAGATAACATTCCTTCAATGTTAATATTCATAGATCGGTGGTTTTTAATCATTCTGTAATTTAATTATGTGGAAAGTCTTGATTGAATTCTCAATCTTCAAAGATTTTATTTCTCAAGGTACCTTGAGGACAAATGACCTAGCTCAATCAGCTGACGATACTAAATAAGCATTGCCCTCATTTCTCTCTCAGAGTCTACTGACGCACGTATCTCGCGCTACGAAGCAAACGTTGAATAAGCTGGGCGTCTTCACGGTATCGTCCTTCCATGCGTTTATCTGCGCGCGTAGTCCATCCTTGCTGAATAATCTATTGGCGGGTCGCGGAGCGACAAAGAGAAGACCGCCGCTGCTGTCGAGGTCGAATAGCGGCTCCAGCAGACGCTCGTTACAGATCTCGTCCAGGGACGAGGAGAAGAGCG